AGTGGCCCTTCTCTGGACCCTCTCCAGGTTATCCGCATCTCTCTTGAAGTGCGGCACCCAGAATTGCACGCAGTACTCCAACTGCGGTCTGATCAGCGCCCGATAGAGGAGAAGTATCACCTCCTTGGATCTGTTCGTCATGCATCTACTGATGCACAATAAAGTGCAGTTAGCTTTGCTGATGACTTCGTCACACTGCCGACTCATGTTCATCTTGGAGTCCACTAGGACTCCAAGATCCCTTTTCGCTTCCGTGCCACCCACCAGGTCATTCCCTAGGCTGTAGGTGTGCTGGACATTTCTCCTCCCTAGGTGCAGCACTTTGCATTTCTCCTTGTTGAACTGCATTCTGTTGTTTTCTGCCCACTTGTCCAACCTGTCCAGGTCTGCTTGTAGTTGTTTCCTGCCCTCTGGCATGTCCACTTCTCCCCACAGTTTTGTGTCATTCGCAAAGTTGGACAAAGTGCACTTCACTCCCTTGTGCAAGTCGCTGATGAAGACATTGAAGAGTATCGGTCCAAGGACCGAGTCCTGCGGGGACCCACTGCCCACATCCTACGACTCTCTGGGTGCGACCCACTAGCCAATTCACCACCCACCGGACTGTGTAGTCATCCAAGTCACAGCCTCTTAACTTGTTCACCAGTATGAGGTGGGATACCATATCGAAGGCCTTCCTGAAGTCTAAGTATATGACATCCACCCCTACGCCTGCGTCCAGGCGTTTTGTAACCTGGTCATAAAAAGAGAGTACATTAGTCAGGTACGATCTGCCTGCCACGAACCCGTGCTGGTTTCCCCTCAGCATAATTTCTCCTGCCAGGCTCTCGCAAATGTGAGACTTGATAATTTTTCAAAGACTTTGTCAAGGATGGAGGTGAGACTGACTGGCCTATAGTTGCCCGGGTCCTCCTTCCTCCCCTTCTTGAAAATGGGGACCACATTGGCTCTTTTCCAGTCCTCTGGGACCTGGCCCGTGCGCCATGAGTGTTCAAATATTCCCGCCAGTGGCTGTGCAATGACGTCATTCAGTGCCTAGCTATCTACGCTGTCCAGTTGACCCGATGCCAAATTAGAAATTGCTTGCTCAAGGGTTTTCAGTAACTCTATTCCCTTCCCCAGATTATGCCTTCAAAACAGCAGGTTGTCGTATCCCACCGCTCCCACCACCCACCACGTGTGGTGGGCCAGTAGGGGGCGCTCCTCATTGAGCCACCCACCTCACTGCGCCCGACCACCTTCCAGGCTCCGAGTGCCCTCCCTGAGGCGCTTCACGTCTGGCCCACCCCTTCCCTGGAGCATACCCACTAGCCTGGGGGTAGAGCTGCCACCACCCAGGGCTCTGGACTGATTCAGGCCTTGCGCACCCTGGGAAACACAGGCCTAGTAGCCCTCAAGGGTACTTGATTCACTTCAAGAAGCTGGGATGCTTCCCTCAGTCAGAAGCACAAGTAGTGGTCTCCCTTAGTCAGCCGAACCAAGGGGACCCCCAAGGCATAATCTAGACCCACTCCCAATAAGTCTCCCACGCCAGGTACAAAGGAGAACTTTATTGGTTACAGAGGGTAGGGTTAGATTAGGGTACAGGGTAGAGCAATATCAGAGAAATCCCATAGAGCAAACTCCCATGGCTGGGGTAGCCTTTGATCTCGCATCTGAGTTACTGCAAGTTATATATCTAGTTGGATCTCAGTTAGCTTACTCACAAGTATCATCCAGAGGCAAGTGGAGATTCCCTCTGGTGGCAGGCGGTTCCTTCATCATGAGTTTTGAGAGAAAGCAAGTTTCAGATGGTTCAGCTCTTCTCAGTCTCTGAGTCTGCCTCATGGCTGCTGCCCCCTCCTCCTGGGCAGTCCTTAACTTATATAGCCCTTGTGACCTCATTTACCTGGTCCAATGGAGGCCAGCACCTGTTGGCTGTGAGCCAACCAATTTGAAATGCATCACTAGTTGCCGGGCAGACTCTAGCCCACAAGGAAGGAAGCCCCTCACCCAGGTATGTGATGCCAGTCACGTAGGCAGAGGGAGCAGGTTTTCCCCCTCCCTCAGGAATGTATCCAGCTCAGGTTACCTAAAGAGATAGGGTAAAGGTGTGTCTCCTCTGCTAGGCCCATCCTACTCAAATTGTCAGAGAGCAGAGTTTTTGGGGGAGAATCAAAGGTGGCTTTCTGCCACACACACATTGGACAAGAGTCCAGTCACGGGCAGCAAAAATGTTTCAGGGGCTGGAGCACATGATGTGTGAGGAGAGGCTGGGGGCACTGGGCTTATTTAGTCTGGAGAAGAGACGAAGACTGAGGGAGGATTGAACAGCAGCCTTCAGCTCCCTGCAGGGTGGTCCCAAAGAGGGTGGAGCTGGACTGTCCTCAGTGGTGACACATGACAGAACAAGGAGCAATGAGCTCAAGTTGCAGCAAGGGGAGTTGAGGTTGCATAGTAAGACAAACTGTCTCATTATGATGGCAGTGAAGCACTGGAAGAGGCTGCCCAGGGAGGTGGTGGAAGCTCCATCCTTGGAGGTTTTCAAGACCTGGCTAGACAAAGCCTGTTCAGCAATGAAATGGTTGGGGCTGGTCCTGCTCTGAGCAGGGGGTTGAACTAGATGTGACCTCCTCAGGTCTCTTCCAACACTCATTTTCTACGAATCAATGATAAATGCACTCACATAAAGAGCCATACATGGACACCATCGCTTTTTGCATGAGAGAAGTGGCTGAGTACTTGATAACTTCAGGCCTTTCCCATGGAACAAGGAGCATTTTGTTACAGACTGGAAGGTAGATACAGCTCATTGCAGTACAGAGGTAGCAGTTCTGCTGCTGCCTGTGCTTGGGGCTGCCGGCTCCTGCGACCGACTTCAGTGCTGTCAGGATGTAGTCGTAGGAGTCCGGCAGGAAGGGACTGTGAAGAGGCTCCCAGTGCCTCCTTCACAGGAGGAGAACCTGGGGAAAACTTACCGGCGGCACAGGCGGAAGTGAGCGTGACGGAAGGAGTGCCGCTGTGGATGGAATACATCTTTCCAGCTGCTGCGTTATTCGGTGCCACTGGTGCCCCGCATTGCCACTTCCTTATTTCTGGGGAGGAATCTACCCCGGCAGGAAGTCTGTCTGAACAAAGGGAACAGGAGAGCATGGAAACTTTTTCCTAAAGTTCTGCAGATTCACCCTGGAAATGGGGCGAAGATCAGATACCAGTCTTGGAGCTTGGACATGCTCAGATGCCACAGAAAGCTTGGCAGAGCACGGCACCCTGAGAGCCTGGCACCTAGAAGCAAGGAAGAACTAACCACAAGACGCTGGACAAGCAGGAAAGGTCTTTAGTTGCGTTCTTCCTTTTGGGACTTCAGTTTACTTAATTAAAAAAAACAAAACAAAACAACCAAAAACAAACAAAAAACCCAACAACCCAAAAAGAAAAAACACGATTAAGACAGTGGGAAAAGGCTGGTCTTGGCTTCCAGAGGAAGAAGGGAGTTGGACCTTAAGTACCTAACGGACTATAAGTAGTGGCACAGACTTTGCTGACTAACTGTGAGGTTATTTTTTTATTAAAATCACGGGGAATATGACAGGTAAATCACAAGATCCCAAAGCAGGAAGCTGGGGGAAAAAGAAAACATAAAAGGAAAAATTTCTGGGAAGCAAATAAAACTGTGAATTCCCAAAGGATAAATACTTACCTGATTCTGGTCACTCGAGGTACTGCTCCACCCTATCACCGGTGAGGCAGACTGCTTTCCTGCACAAACTGGTGTAGCCCTGGTGAGCTGGAGGTAACCTGGAGGAGAACAGGATACAAAAACTATTTTTAGGAGGAGAAATTAACTTGGCATAGACAGGAATACTAGACGATTATCAATTGCATATTAACAACTGGTTGGTGTTTGGCTGGGGTAGGGGGATGTTGGAGCGGCAGGAGGAACAAGCCAGATGCCCTAGTTATTAACCTTCAACAGAGCAATACTTTCCGATTTATAAGTTACATCAAGACGTGGCAAGTGAGAACTGGGCTGTGATCATTGGTTAATTATTCAGGGCAAAGCAGCTCTGGCTCATGGCGCAGACGCACAAGACACTGGGTCACGGGGGGTCTTGTTCACGTATTGTGCCACTCTGACAGAGACCCATAATACACGCACAGACACAACCCAGGTGTTCGGGTTACACACACGCACGGACACACACACGACAGCTGGGGACTGAACATTGCTAGGAAGGAAGGCATGGTCCAGCCTTTACCCAGCTTCCAGCCTATGCCCTGTCATCCCTGCTGGGAAAACCTTGGTGACGCTGAATCCACCTGTCTGCAAAAGACCATTGGCAAGCGTGTCCCCATTGGTTGTGACCAATATGGGGGGCTCCCCAGGGCTGTGTGCCGGTCCATCCGCACTGCTCTGCTTTCCACAGCTCTGGCAGAGATGCCCACATCTGTACAGCAAATATCCAGCCACAGCCAGCACGAGAATCCCAAACAGGGTTCCCTCTAAGGTGCACGCGTGCGCTGCCGTGCACAACTAAAAGTGTGGCCACGCACAGCCTTTTCAAGGCCGGGCACCAGGAGAGGCTGGGGCGGGAGCCTGGTGGAGGCTCCGCCGACTCCGGGGAAGTGCTCCGCTCCCCGACATCAGGGCCACGTGCCCAGTGAACATGACCACACCTCAGTGACGGTCTTTATAGCTAGAGTGAAAAAGCGTCTTCAGGGCTCCAAAATAGAGGAGAGAAACTAAGAGCACGGGCAGATGTAAGATATAGAAAAGGGGGAGCAGAGGGGGTGGTGCCTCAGCACATGGGAAACATTGCATCATTTTCTCCAGTTAAAGGGAAACTAGACGCTCTGGAAATACCCCAGGGGCCTGGCGCTATAGTATTCACTTGCAGATTGAAGAAGAAAGTGACCAACCTGACAGAGGGTGGTTGGACCCCGAGAGGTGCTGCGCGAACAGGCCGGGGACGAAAGGGCTGCGGGACCTTGCTTCCCCTTCCCTTATCTTTCTTCCCGTTGACGGAAAACAATTAAAGAAGTGGTGTAACAAATGAATGCTTTACTTACAACAGTTTTAAGATTAAGCTTTGCCAGTAACTCGAGAGCTCTTTACACGTCTGAACGATACATTTGGTTGCGTTAAGATTAAGCTTTGCCAGTAACTCGAGAGCTCTTTACACGTCTGAACGATACATTCGGCTGCGATGGGGGGGGGCGTCCGGGGGGGAGGGATTTCGTGGACGCAGGACCTCCGGTGAGGGTGATCAGGCCTCTCCGATATCACGCGGGTCCCTGCCCCCTCCTCCTCCTTTTTTTCCAGATATACTGCTCCGGTAGCCAATAGGATTGAGCCGAGTACATCCGGCGATTTGTTTTTGGCGCACTGCGCGGGCTGCATGAGAACACGCGGTCGCTTGGCCAATTAAATTATGTCTCTGACTTTACGTCAGAGGCTTTTCGCGCGGGCCTGGAACACCGATCACGTGGCTATCAGGCCGCGCCCACCACTTCCCCCACGCCACGAGCACAACTTGCTCTCCTGTTTGGCATTTGGTCACTTTTCTTTATCACAGAAACAAATATGATCAATGGAATACATACTAGATTTTAGATATATAATCCCAGCAACAATTTGCTAGATTATATATATAGTTGTTTTTTTAAAAAGAAAAACATAAGAAACAAGGCAAAACGGAGCCCAAACACTCCAAAGCTATTGTGTTGTTAGTCCCATAGTCATTACAATTAAATAGCAATCTAATTCAGATGAATTAACACAAGATATCGCCTTCCTGAGCATCTTGACAGCCCCTCCAGAAACCTTCTTGAGCAGTCAGTCGGGTGCACCCCCGAGTTTGTAGGACTGCCCGAGTGCAGGTTTTTAGCTAGAGCCGCAGTCTGCAGGGCTGCAAAAGAGGAGGTATGTGACCAGGCAGGGCTGACAGCAGCAGAAGAAAGGATGGTTTGACTGGCGGCACATCAAGACCGATGAAGAGATTCATTGCTAGAAGTGGCTGACAGGCAGCAGAACTGTAGAAGAAAGGGTGGGTTGATTAGTGGAAGAGCAAGACTACTGGAAAGGAAGGAGTGTCCACACCTGAGGATGGACAGATTAGCAGGAATCAAAGATGGGCTCCCTCATGGGTGTCTGGATAGAAATGTTCCTGTTTCTCCCTTGCCTTTGGCAGGAGCAAGGATAAAAGGAGGCGCGTGTCTGCCCCACTGTCCCCTCACCCCATATCAACCCCTGCTGGAGACTCCTTACCAGGTGGCACCAGAGTAATGGAAGGCAGGAGAGTGCCATTTGGAGAGCAGCTGATCTCGTAGTGCCCATGGAGCTGCTGCACCATGCTCCTCACCATAAAGATCCCATGCCTGAGGGTGAGGATGCCCAAGCTGTGGGCCACAGCCCTATCTTGTATAGATGCAGCTCCGTTGCATACCACACATCAGCAATCACTGTACAGTCCTGGAGGCCCGGGGCACGCAAGTGGCTGCCCCCTCTGGCACAATACAGTGTCAGATGGGGACCCCTATGCAGAGACAGTGCAGTGGTCAGACCCTCATGGGGGGAGCAGGCTAAGGGAGGAACAGAGGTGTCCCACATCCCCAAAGCTAGGGTGGGGGAAGGGGTTCCCCCAGTCTTTGGGGAGGGGAAGGCAGCGACCCTGGACACCCAGGTTCTGGTCACACCTGGCAGCTGGTCCTGGCACTGGCAGTGGATGGGGGCAGGTGTGGTTGAGGCAAGGGTCACGACACCCAGCACCAGACCAGGGATCATGGTGGCCCTGCTGCCCCCTGGCCCAGGGGAGAAAGAAAAGTGAGAGTCAAACACCACTCACCCCCACCAAGGGAGACCCCCTACTTGAGACCCCCTACTCTCCCCTAACTGCAGGGGGACAGGACCAAAGCCCCAGTGCCCGTTTCCACCCCACAGCTCAGGGATGTGAGGCCCTCCATGCACACGGACACATGCTCACAGCTCTGGTCCCAGCAAGCAGGGACACACACACGTATCTAAGTAGAAATTTTGCTCATGCTAGGCTGCAGTTATGCTTGCTAAACCATAGTTAAGCTAAGGCGCCATGGGGGACCTTGGAAGCAGCAGGCTCCGGACCGCTGCATGCCCTGATGACCAAGTGAGCTAAAACTACGAGATCAGCGGAGCGCGAGTTCCAGGCACCTGCTACCCGTTAGGTCGATTACACGACTTACTGGTGAACTGCCAATAAATGTAGCCCAGACACATGTACAAAGCAATCATCACACAAGGAATGGGTGAATTGTGCAATTAATGTAGACTGGCCACATGTGCAAAGTAACTGTCATGCAATGAACAGGTGACTCATGTAGCATGGCTACATAAAAAGGAATCGCCATGCAATGAACAGATGAATCATTCAATAACTGTATCTTGGTCACATGTGCCAGTGATCACACAATGAACTAGTCAATCGCATAATAAATGTTGCCTCACCACACATGCAAAACAATTTACACGAAATGAACAGGTGAATCCCACAATAATTACAGCCCAGTCACACTTGCAAACTAACTGTCAGGCAATGAACAAGTGAATCATGCAAAAACTGTACACTGGCCACACGTACAAAACAAGCAGATTGGGAATTTTTTTTTAAGCAGCTCTTATTTTTTGACAGTGGTAGATTGATAAACACCCCCACTCCCTTATCTTTAAAATGGATAGGTAGGCATCTGTGAGCCTTTCCCGCACTTCTGGCAGAATTATGGATGCTTTGGGGTGCAGCTGCACTGGTGTTTGGCCAGGGGGGAGGAGTCGTGGAAGCTATCCTCACACACAGAGGACTCATGTCGTTTCTCCCCTGCATGGACGCATGGGTGGCCAGACTGGAGGACTGGCTGAATCTCTTTCCCACACTCTGAGCACTGATGCATCTACTCCTCTGCATGCATGTGCTAGGGAGTGGCCAGGCTGGAGGACTGGGTGCAGCTCTTCCCGCATTCAGGGAAATCATGTGGCTTCTTTGCTGTATGGGTCTACTGGTGTGCGGCCAGGTGGGAGGACTGGGTGAAGCACTGATGTGGCTTCTCATCTGGGTGCATACACTTGTGTCCGGCCAGGTTGAAGGAGGAGGTGAGCCTCACCCCACAGTAAGGGCAATTATATATCTTCTCCCCAATATGGATCTGCTGGTATCAAACCAGACTTGAGGAATGGGTGAAGATCTTCCCACACTCAGGGCACTGACGTGGCTTTCCTCTACGTGGATACTCTGGGGGATGGCCAGGTCAGAGGAACTGGTGAAGCTCTTCCCACACAGAGGACAGATGCGGCTTCTCCCCTCTGTGGATGCATTTGTGCTGGGCCAGGTGGGATGAAATAGCAAAGGTCTTTCTACACTCAGCGCACTGATGTGGTCACTGCCTTGTGTTCACATGCTGGTGTGTGGCTAGGCTGAAGGACTGAGAGAAGTCCTTACATGCACAGCAGTACTTCTCCCGTGTGTGGAAACGCTGGTGCTGGGCCAGGTAGGATGAACTGGTGAAGTTCTTCCCAAACACAGAGCACTGATGTGCCTTCTCCCATGTGGATGCACTGGTGTTAGAACAAATGGGAGGCCTGGGTGAAGCCCTTCCCACACTCAGGGCACCAATATGGCTCCTCCCCTGCATGGATATACTGATGGATGGCCAGACAGGAGGAACAGCTGAAGCTCTTCCTGCACACAGAGGACTGATGTGGTTTCTCCCATGTGCATACGCTGGTGTTGTGCCAGAGAGCAAGACCGGGTGAAGCTCTTTCCACACACACAACACTGATGCGGCTTATCGCCTGTGTGGATACGCTGGTGGATGGCCAGGTGAGAGGAATGGCTGAATCTCTTCCCACACACAGAGCACTGATGCGGCTTCTCCCCTGTGTGGATATGTTGGTGACAGGCCAGTTGGGATGAACCAGTAAAGCTCTTCCCACACACAGAGCACTAATGCGGCTTATCGCCTGTGTGGATATGCTGGTGCCGTGCCAGATTGGAGGAACGGCTGAAGCTCTTCCCACACACAGAGCACTGATGCGGCTTATCGCCTGTGTGGACACGCTGGTGGATGGCCAGGTGAGAGTAATGGCTGAATCTCTTCCCACACACAGAGCACTGATGTGGCTTCTCCCCCATGTGTATAGGTTGGTGACGGGCCAGTTGGGATGAACCAGTAAAGCTCTTCCCACACACAGAGCACTAATGCGGCTTATCGCCTGTGTGGATATGCTGGTGCCGTGCCAGATTGGAGGAACGGCTGAAGCTCTTCCCACACACAGAGCACTGATGCGGCTTATCGCCTGTGTGGACACGCTGGTGGATGGCCAGGTTAGAGGAATGGCTGAATCTCTTCCCACACACACAGCACTGATGTGGCTTCTCCCCTGTGTGGAAATGTTGGTGACGGGCCAGTTGGGATGAACTAGTAAAGCTCTTCCCACACACAGAGCACTGATGTGGTTTCTCCCCTGTGTGGATACGCTGGTGTTTTGTCAGAGTGGAGGACTGGGTGAAGCTCTTTCCACACACGGAGCACTGATGTGGCTTCTCCCCCGTGTGTATACGTTGGTGACGGGCCAGTTGGGATGAACCAGTAAAGCTCTTCCCACACACAGAGCACTGATGTGGCTTCTCCCCTGTGTGGATACGCTGGTGTTTTGTCAGAGTGGAGGACTGGGTGAAGCTCTTTCCACACACAGAGCACTGATGCGCCTTATCGCCTGTGTAGATACGCAGGTGTGCTAGAGTGGAGGACTGTGTGAAGCTCTTCCCACACACAGAGCACTGATGTGGCTTCTCCCCGGTATGGATGCGCTGGTGCTCATCCAGGCTGGAGGAGCGAGTGATGTTCTTCCCACATTCAGGGCACCCAGGTGGCAGAGCCCCGTGCGAGGGGCAGTGAAAGATTTTCTGGCATTCAGGGTAGGGGTGGGCTTTGCCCCTGGGCTTGGCGGGCACGTCCTGTTTCCCTCTCAGTCCCTCCCCACTGGTTTCGTTTGGACGCAGGGTCTCTTTCCAGTGCAACTTTGCCTTATGGCTTTTCAGATCCACAAATCCTTCCCTGTACCCAGGGCTCTCTCTGGACTCTGTCCTTTCTCCACTCTCACGCGCAAG